TACTCAATAACGGAAAAAACATTTCTCCACACAAATCCTCATAGCCTCAACTCAAATTATTTACTCATTTATTATTATTTGATGGAACACTTAATTTATTTCAAGAGAATAACTTTAAATCATAAATATCAGATAGAGTCTCTGACATTGTTTTATAATTTTATCTCAATAGATCTAAGATCATTGCAAAAATGATCTGGGACAAAGCAAAAAATAAAAAAAGATACTGAAATTCCTAATACAAATAAAGGAGGAAATTTCTTTTTCAAAAGAAAATTAAATTATTTTCAATTTTTAAATTTTGACATAAATAAAAATAAGAAACACATTTTCAAGAAAGATCAAATAATTTTCAATTCAAAAATACCGAAGAGAACAATCTTAAAGAAACATATAGTTAAAGTCAAAAATATCAATGACAAAATTAAGCACTTCATAATCCTTCTTTGAGCATCTAAAAACATTACAAATATATTGAAAGAATACATATTATAGTTCATAAAGAGAAAATTATTTTATATATTTAACTCCTATTTTCTTTTAAAAATAATATCACGGATTGTGGAAAAAGTATACCAAAGGGATTAAGAACGTAATTGCTCTTTGACAATACAAACACAAGAAATAATACAAGGAACATAGGTATTGACACTAATACATGAGTCACCAACAGCCTTGTGATTTTTGTAAACACCAATTTGAGTAAAAAAAAAAAACAGACTCGTGAGAGGACCACCTTAACCATACGACAGTGCTAGCAAGAGCCTATATTTTCTTATTAGCACTATATATCTAATTATTGTAGAGATGAGCGTGACTGTGAAGAACAAAGACGACGCTTGCAATTTGTTTTAAACATGGAACTATATGAAGTTGACACTCTTGCATAGGAAACCAAGTTATATATTTATTTTGCAGAGACATAATACATACTACAAAACAAATTTATCAAGTAGCTTGGGCGAAAATATTTGATTAAATCAAATTTAATGACAACTACACTCAAGCACACATGCAAAATACGTAAATCTTGTGGTCATTCATATGCAAGACATAGAAAACAAAAAATTTAATGACTGCAATTGAAATAGAAATACTCACGTTAGAATCGTTAAGAAGATAAAGATAATAACAATCTCTAATCTGCACATTAAACAACAAAAAAATCAATTTGATAAGAGCTAAAGTGACAATCTCAGACTAATTTATATGCTAAATAAAAAATAAAAAAAGAGCTCTCCAATTTGAAGGTAGGACATTCAATTAGTGAAAGCCACTATAAGTTCAACCTGTGACGACCAGTGTCTCCAAACGTTGGTTCAAATTTTTGTCAAGCCAATCTTTTTTTCTTAAAACAAAATTTGACTAACGAGAATCATTGTTGTGATACCTTTCACATACAAAATTTTACAATATGTTGAACTCTAACCTTCATTGAGATTGACACATCTTTGAGAAAGAATTCATATGTTGGGAAAAAAAAATTACCTCAGAAATAGGTACCGCTCTTCCCTGCGTCAATGATTGTTTAATCCTGAAATAAGGGAAAACAACTGAAGAATTAATAGAAGAATGCTTATTGTACTGATGTGTGAACGTACTACACCAAATTGAAAATTGTAGAATAAATTGGAGTGGTTGATAACATTACTATAATTAGATGCACCAAATTAAACTGCCGTATACATATTCCAGAAACCCTAAAGTGAATTCTAATAACAACAAAAAGAAAATGAAAGGCCAAATACATCGGCAACCCCTTAAAGTTGTCCTCACTTTTCACTTAGACACTCTATCTTGACTCAGTTCCATTTGAAGACTTTAACCATATCTCATATGTGCCATTCAGACACATTTTGGTGATGTGGCATAGAGCGTGTATTACACCTTTTTCCAGAGCGTGAGAGATTTATTTTTCTTTTTAAAAAATTTTCCTCTTTATTTTCCTCCTGTTCTTTCGCACAATGGTATGCTTTAGCTTTCATTGCCGGAATAAGTGAAGACTGCCGGAAAAATTTCACACATTTATTCTTCTTCGTCTCTCTACTCTTTTCTCAACTCAAATTCTTTCTTCTCCAATTAGCCACCATTAAAGACCCGCTACCCTATTTCACCATACCTAGATCCCATTTCGCCAATCCATGTACCCTCTCCATTATCTAAATTTATCAAAAATTAAAGCCCATAATTCATTCTGCATGTTGTTCGTGCTTCCCACCCATTTCCGACCCTTCTCCCTTCAGATATGAGATCAATATCCGCATAATTATGGAAGAAAATTTTTTCCGTATCTGAAATACGGAGGTTCAAGCACCGACGAGCTTGTTAGTAGTGCTTTTACTTTGGAGCATCACTAAAATCTGGGAAAATTTGCTGGTGGATTTATTTTCCGGCAATTTTGGGCTAATCCTTAATGATAGGAAAATTGTTACTGGTTGATTTCTATGTTTTATACTTATTTTTAATGTTGTAGATGATTGGGGGTGGAGATTAGGAGGCATAGGAGTGAATCTGTGAGAAGATGACATGGGTGCTTCGTTCTTAGCAGAAGAAGACAGTGGGATGGGGGGTCGTCAGGAAGATGACAAAGGGGGGGGGGGTTCTTGTTTATCTTTTAAGTTTTCTTTTGTCATTTTTTTTAATTTGCTTAAGTTAAATCCACGTGTCTCCATCTTATTTGTTACCCTGGCGTGTGAGTTACACGTATCTTTTGTGTTTAGCTACCTATCAATTTGTGTCTAATGACACAGTTAATACCCGGTTAAAATGTTCAAATGGAACAGAGTTAAGATAGAGTGTCTAAGTAAAATGTGAGGACAACTTTAATGGGCTGCCGATGTATTTGGCCAAAACGAAAACCTCCAACCTAAAGAATCTTTAAGCAAAAATAACATTGGTAATAAAAGAATCTTAAACCTAAAGGAGTAAATGTAACGACCCGACCGGTCGTTTTGAGCTCTAGCGCGTCGTTCAGCATTTTGAGGCCATGAGCGGCTTCACTTCAGGTATTATGACTTGTACGCATGGTCGGAATTGAATTTCGGGAAGTTCGGAGTTGATTTGGAAAGAGAATTCTCATTTCGGAAGCTTTAAGTTGAAAGAATTGACTAAGATTGGATTTTTGAGTAAACGATCTTGAATCGGGATTCGAAGGTTCCAGCAGGTCCGTATGATGATTTCGGACTTGGGCGTATGTCCGGATTGGATTTTGGAAGACCCGGGAACGTTTCAGCACCTATTGTGGAAGTTAGCATTTTTGGAAGAATTTCATAAGTTTGGGTTGAAGTGCATTTCAGTGTTATCAATGTCTGTTTGGGATTCCGAGTCTGGGAATAGCTCCATATGGTGATTCTGGTGTTGGGAGCGCGATCAGAAGTGAATTCGGAGGTCCGTGGGTCATTTTGGAGTCATTTGACTAAAGATAGAAATTTGAAGGTTTTTGAGGAGTTTGACCGGAAGTGGACTTTTTGATATCGGGGTCGGAATCCAATTCCGGAAGTTGGAGTAGGTCTGTAACGTCGAATGTGACTTGTATGCAAAATTTGAGTCAATCGGACGTGATCTAATAGGTTTCGATATCGAATGAAGAAGTTTGAAATTCTAAAGTTCATTAAGCTTGAATTGGAGTGCGATTCATGTTTTAGTATTGTTCAATGTAATTTGAGGCATCGACTAAGTTCGTGTCATGTTATGGGACTTGTTAGTATACTTGGTTGGGATCCCATGGGGCTCGGATGAGTTTTGGAAGAGTTTTTTGGAAGAGTTTGGCGTTTTGAGCATAAGCATGTAATGATTCAAAGGTCCATTTTTAGTTCTAGAGATCGAAACTCGATTTCAAGACTTCCGGGATTTTGATAATGAATTATAGGAGTGATCTGGAAAATTTGGTCTATTTTCATCAAGTCGCAATTGAGTTTTTAGGGCAAAACATGAGTTAATTGTTTAACGAGCGAAATTGGTATCGTATTGAGTAAATGAGCTCCGAATTGAGTTTCGATTGAAGGAATAGGTTCGTATTATTATTTGTGACTCACAGGAACAAGAGTCGTCGAATTCCGAGTTCGTATGATGGTGTTAGAGCATTTTTAGTGAAATTAAAAGATGCTGAAATTTCTGGGCAGCTGCTGTATTTTTCGCAGATGCATGAACAGTACCGTACCTGCGTGAACAGTAACCGCACCTGCGTGAACAGTAACCGCAGGTGCGAAAATGCTGGGCAGTGTATAAATCGAGCAGTCCGAGATTTTTACTCATTTTTTGAAGCTATGGAGCTCGGATTAAAGCGATTTTTGAGGCGATTTTCACCATATGGATTGAGGTGTAATACCCCAATATTTTAAATGAGGTCATATGGGGTATTTAGTAAATAATTTAAGTTTTCTTTAAAAAAAAATGAACTAACATTAAAAAAAATAATAACAAAAAAAAAGAATTTTTTCCTATCTATACCATATATGAAACCTTATTACCAAAAATGTTCATAATTTGTTAATTACCCGTCCAGTCCACACTTTTACTACAATTTATATACCAATCCATAATTAGGCAGATTCTGCCATTTAAAACGCGCTAAAAAGAAGGCACGAAATCTGCATTTGATTCTTTCCGCATTAAATTCGAATTTTGAAACGTAAAGAGATCTCATTGCTGCGTAATTCTCTCATTCACTACAATTCTAAAACAACGCAAGCTTCAGGAGCTCCAGTACTCAATTTGCTTTTACAAATTCTACAACGCAATACAAATTGTAGAATTCAAAATTGTTCTTCATCGACCTCAGTACTCAAATTATCGAACCTATATCTGTTCTTNGCATTGTATTGTAGAAGATGCCGTTCTCCTATCGGATGGTTTGAAGCTGGTGAGACTAACTTATTGGGACCCGACCTAGTACAAGAAGCTATGGACAAGGTCTAGTTGATCAGACAGAGATTGCTTACAGCTCAAAGTAGACAAAAGTCTTATGCTGATTAGAGAAGAAGAGATTTAGTGTTCACAATTGGAGACAAAGTGTTCCTACGAGTCTCTCCTATGAAAGGTGTGATGCGATTTGGGAAAAGATGCAAGCTGAGCCCCAGGTTTATAGGACCGTATGAGATACTAGACCGAGTGGGAGCGGTGGCTTATCGTTTGGCACTTCCTCCTAAGTTGTCCTTTATTCATCCAGTTTTTCATGTCTCAATGCTAAGGAAATGTATATCAGACTCATCTCAGGTGCTTGAAGCACCAACTATACCGCTTGATGAGAAGTTGTCTTACGAGGAGGAGCCGATGGTAATTGTTGATAGACAAGTAAGAAAGCTACGGTCAAAGGAAATTGTGTTCGTTAAAGTTTTATGGAGAAATCATACAGTTGAAGAAGCTAATTGGGAGGTAGAAAAAGATATGCAAGCGAAGTATCCCCATTTGTTTCAGTCTAGAGGTACGTACTTGAGTTAAATTCGGAGACCGAATTTCATAAGGTGGGGAGGGTGTAATATCCCCAATATATTAAATGAGGTCATATGGGTATTTAGTAAATAATTTAAGTTTTCTTTAAATAAAAATGAACTAACATTTAAAAAAAAAGAATTAACAAAAAAAAAAAGGGGGAACCTAACCTAATTAAAAGATGAGCAAAGGCCCACTGGAACGGCAAAACAAAAAAAAAAAGAAGAGGGGAAAAGGGGAAAAGGAATTGCAGCAAAGCTGCGGCAAAGAAGAAGTAGAAGCTAAAGCACAGAAAGAAAAAAAAACCATAGAGGAGAAAGCAACGAAGCCTAGGGTTCCAAAATAAAGGGAAAATCAAGCACAGTTCCATAGCTGCTAGGAACCTGGTGCTTCAATATTATTATTCTCAACCATTGTTATTTCTAAATTCAAGGTAAATCTTATTATTCCACTGATATGAGTGTCCTTGATTTATCATGGTTTCAGTTAAATAGTGATACTAGTAACTCAGTGAGTTCCAATTGATTTGGATGCAAGAATGTTCATGAACAAAAAATCAGATTTTTTTTTTATATTTGATGAATTAGTTGGGGGAAAAAACTCAGATTATTATTTAGAATAATATGGAGATAGCAACAAAGAACTTAATCAATTGGTTATATTTTTAACAAGTTATTAAGAGGATACAAGATGTAAACTTATTATTACTGATTATGCAAATTCCTTCTATGATTTAGTAAAGGAGTAGTACAAAGATGTTAAGTTTGGAAGAATAAATTAGCCATAGATAGTTATTTTTTATTTTTTTAAATAAAGATAATACATAGTCTAATGAATGCGGTAAAGTAGAAACAAAATATCGGTTATAAGCGGAAAAAAACATCTACTGAAAGTGAGATAGATTATAAAGTTCAATAGTGATAACACTAGATTTATATTGATTTATAGATTGTACACAAATTGAGCATTTGGATCGATAAGAAGTCGAGTTTTGGCTAGTTGGTATAAAGAGGTGAGTAGTAATCTTACCGCAATTTGTGTTTTCATAACCTGCATGGTTTATATATTATTTTGAAAATAAATTTGTTACCGAATGTTTGAAATTGCATGTGGGACAAGTCCTTTACTTGATATGGTACCGAACAGTTTACTTGAGATGTTTACCGGTTAATCTAAATGTTTTCACCGTTACTAGATATGTTTTACCGTTACTTGAGATGTTGCAGTTATTTAAATTATTATCACCATTACTAGACATGTTTTACTGTTACTTGAGACATGATTTCCATTACCGAAATAAAATTACAAGATTTGATAAGAAATGATATGCCCTTTATTATTTTGAAAATGCTTTTGTACGAGTATTTACTGTTTACAAGAAAGAGTATAAATGGGAGGAGACTTTGAAGGTTCCCGTAGCTAACGGCGGGTTCGTTAGACCTGATGCACCTTGTATTAACCGATTACAGAGTACAGTTATAGCCCTCGCTAGTGGGAATGTAGAACTAGCATACCGTTACCGATTTCCCTCGAGTAGGGACTACCGTTATATATGACTTCTTGCAAAGAAGTCCACAGTTATACCAATTACATGATCCGTTCATTGAAACCTCCCAAAACGTGAATACTGATATTATACAGTGGTTACCGAGCTTATTACTGAATTGTTAATTATATTTTACTACAAGAAAAGCGTGATGAGACTGAAATTTTTTATTGTTTCTGAAAGGGCATTTCTATGTATTTTCTCTTTGAGATACTAGCATGTTTTTGACTTGTCCCCAAATAAAAAACGGTTGTGGTTAAGTGTTATTACTCACTGAGCTAGCGACTCATTCCCCGCTAATTTTGTTTTACAGAGACAACAGTTGACACATGCGAGGATTTCGTTAATTAGAGCGAACAAGTTGAGAATTCTTGGTGAGATTCGCACTTGTTCGCGTGGGCGGAGATTTTTATCAGTTGTTATGGTCTTTTCTTTGAATTCTTAGAGTCGCTCCATAGTCAATATTTTAGTGTCATGAGTATTCTTTTATTATTATAGTCTTAAGTTGAGTATCGTTTATTATGAAAGTTGGAGGTAGATTAGTATTTCTGGTTGTTAGTGTGTTGATTAGTAATGGTGGAGACTTATTTTGGCTAATTGGTAAGTGGTCAATTGCCAGTTGAATTGCTATTAGGTTGTTTGATCGCTGATTTGAGACAGGAAATTTTTGGGATGGTCCAAAATCAGGGGAAACTCTGCCCGATTTTCTATGAAATTACCGATGAGGCTTACTTGGGAGCACTTGCTCCTAAGCGCCGATCACGATCCTAATTTGGGTCGTGACAATATCAAAGGTGAATATGGGCCCATTACCTGCCATGTATACCACATAAGATGTATCTATGAGATGGTTACATGTGTGATTATTATTAACCCGCAACATGATGTTTGTGAGGTAACTTGCTCAATAATTTTATTTAGAGTATAATTTCCAGATTTTTTATTCAAGATAGTTCTTCTTGATAAGTTGGTTTACATCACAGTTGGTTTAGCAAAATGATTTTTTGAGTGCCTCCACTTAATAGCTAAACAATTGCTTATGAGAATAAAGTTTTGTATATCAGTTTGATATACGTTATATACGAAAGTATATTATTTTCTCCCCTCACAAGTGGTTCATGGTTAGGAACCAAATAATTCCATCTTATTATTATTGGTGTGCGGTGTATATTTTGATTAACACCATAACACACAAAGATGAGTTCTTAGAGTTGAGGAAACAAGTTAGTTTTTCTAACATGAGGGGTAGACATGATAAACAGTTGAGAAAAAGTTACCTGGAATGAATTATCATTTGTACATCTAGATCCTCGAATAAAATAATATGAACTTTAAGTTCATAGAGATGTAATATATTGCAAAGCATGCCAGACGCATTTGCTGGCCCAAAAAAAGTAACTATATTCTCAATGCAAATGCTCCTATGAAGTCCTACAAGGACAAAGTCTGTGGTACGCTTAAGGCGTATAGACAAATCGGTTTCAAATAAATTTCTTAATAAACAAGATGAGCAAATGATCATAATAAAGGAGGCAAGTGATCTAGAAGATCACATGACATAACACTTCATAATATCTCATGAGAGATTCAGGTACCTGAATATATTAATGAAGCGATCTCTATGTTATGTCTTTATGAAAATATATTGAAACTGATATAAAATGTTTGTCGACGACATCTATGATAGCGCTAAGTATAGATGAGGATCTTAAGTCTGTCGCTTACAGACACAAAAATATTGGCCAAATGAAAGAGACACAATTCAAATAGAATTGGTTTCATATGAAAGACATGTAGTTTTGAACATGTAGTTCAAACACTTGAAAGTATAAAGTCAATGGTATGTGCAATCAGTATTCAATATCTTATATGTCTAGCATGACAAGAAAACTTGATATGCATCTAAAGTCTATTATATGGCTTATATGACTTAACTTATTCGACAATCCATGAAGGATTTAAGTTGCTTAAAGCATATACAATTCTTGATCTTGAAGTACCACATCCTCAGTGCAATTTGTGCATATATGTATCTTGCTATAATTATAAGCATGATAATACGATAGCGAGAATCTCTATGGAGATATTGAAGAGCCATTCCACGACATTATATGAAGACATTATATATCTATCAAGAATGATGATTTCAAGGTGCAATATATCCATTCAAATTAATATGGCTGATTTGTTCATCAAATCTCTACCAAAGATCTTTTGAAGATGGTGCACAAGATTGGAATGCAAATGCTCAAGGATGTGAATTGATGCTCCCATCAGGGGGAGTTAATACGCGTTGTACTTTTTTCCCTTACAAGGTTTTGTCCCACTGGGTTTTCTTGCAAGGTTTTTAACGAGGCAACCAAAAGGCGTATTATTAGATATGTGTACTCTTTTTCCTTTTCTAGAGTTTTTTCCCATTGGGTTTTATTTTAGTTAAGGTTTTAACGAGGCACATTATCTGTTGAATAGACATTTAAGGGGGAGTGTTATAAATAGAATTTTATTTATGGTGAATGTCATTGTAATTCATCCCAAAATCAATAACAATTCTCTCTCCCTACTTTTCTCTGCAATACTATTCTCCTTCTTTTATTGTTTTATAACAGAAATATAATTTTTTGGAGTTATTTCAAATTTTCGAAAAATTCCAAAATTATTTTCTTTTATGGCTATTGATTTCGAAAAAATAAAAAGAAATCGAAAAAAAGTGAAAATTCTTGTGTCCAAACGGGCTCTAAGATCGAATCCGCAGAAGTACAAGTAATTTATGTCTATTTCCAAAGTCGTGAAGTCATTATCTAAAGATAACTTTAGGTGCAAAAATTTCTACGTCTATAAATTAAAATCATTGTTTGCCACCTTTCCCCCCGTTGAAATAACTGCCCATATGCATGTGACTTGGTAATGCTAAGCCATCAATTATTTCCACTTGTGCGAATATTGAAAATTAATTTAATTTGTGTCAGGTATATATATTCTTGGTGTTGAATTTTCTATTTAGGTTAGCAACTAATGGCAACTTGCATGAAAATATTTATAATGTTGACGATGTGTAACCATTTAATTTAAAAGGTTAATAGTTACTCTATTAGAGAAAGTACACTTCTATTATTACTTCATAATATTTCTATTACGCGCTTTTCACAGTTTAGCCTGATTTTTTATGAATTAAGTGCGCGTGAAAATCCTTTTCAGTTAAGTGTTGTGAGATTTGAATATATAATCTATGTCTGTTTTGATATTATATTAAAGTATGTGTTCATTTCCTCTAGAAACTTAAATTATTAGAGCGACCACACTTTTATTTACTTAGTAATCACTACAAGAAAAAGCCTTATTTACGACCAACTTTTAGGGACGAGTAAATAATCTCGTCGCTAATAATATATGTATTGGGACGAGATTATATTGCCGTCCTTAATGCTTTATTTTATTGCGAAGGTAATAAATCTGGTCCCTAAAAAAAATAGTAACTGGTCCCAAATTATAATTGAGAGGCCTTGAGTGTGAGAGAGTCCCGCCAATCTAATACTAAAATACTAAAAAATTATTTTTTTCTAAAAATTAGGCGCCAAAACTAAAAAATAAAAGGTTTTAACAAAATTAAACCTCTGTTATCTCAAAACAGAGTGCCGCTAGAATCCTCTGCCCTAATCTCCCGTCAAGCTAGCGTTAGAGCCGGTCTGCTCGTCTGGTCGTGTGCGAGCCAAAATCGATCAACTGATCTGATCATCTGCCCTAGTTTCCATCTCCTCCTTTGAGAATCCAAGGTATGCCTCCTCTTTCAAGTTGCTCTTTTTCTTCTTCTTTCTTCTTCTTCTTCCATGAATGGCATATTAGTCAGGTTTTGAAAGCTAATTATTCCAAGGTATGCCTCCTTTGAGAATCGTCTGGTTTTGAAAGCTAATTATTCCATGAATGGCATATTAGTTTTATGTATTCAGCGAGGGATTAATCTTGAGAATATTTGGGCTGCTATAATTTTTACTGTTGTTTGCTCAAGTTTGTTGTTTGGGATTTCTTCTATAAGCTGATTAAATAACAGAAAGTTTGCTCAAGTTTGTTGTTTGGGATTTCTTCTATAAGCTGATTAAAAAACTGAAAGTTTGCTCAAGTTTGTTGTTTGGGGCTGCCCTAGTTTTATGTATAAACTGATTATTCTTGCTGTTTCTGAAAGTTTATACTACTTACATTGTGAATATTTTTGTGCAGTTCACGTTTTCCTGAGTTTTGTTATTCTGTTATTCTGTCATCTAGCAAATAAAAATTTCTTTGAGCTGAAAACAGAGGAGCCGAGTCGACTAGAAAGTGAGACCTTAGAGTTGAATCGGTTATGTTCATCTAATCGTAACAAGTAGTGTGCATCGTAGTATTTATCTTATCTTTTATCTTTATTTAATTTTATTTTTATTTACTCTCCAAGGTTATGGCACCTAGTAAGCAATGGATGCAACTTGTTGATAATC